ATCGTACAGACCAGAATGCCTAGGCACCGGTGCGTCCTCTACGTCGTATAAGTTGGAATACGATTTGGTCTGCCTCGTTGTTGTTGCCTGCAAGTTACGACAACAAGCAACGAGAAAAAGATAACATGGTATGATTATAAATAATACAATGAAGAAATATAAGTAAACGTAACGATGACAGAACATGTCCATGTTACGCTCTCTCTCTCTCTCTCGTATTTGAGTACAGAACTAAAAAAAAAAAACAACCCATACATAATATATCTTTTTTTTCTTTGTATTTATTTATTTATTTATTTCATTCGTACTTTTTTCGACTCGGGAACGTTATCTTAAACCGGTACGAAAATGTTTTTCAACGATATTGGTTTGCGATATCGTTGCAGGTCGAACCATTTTCCTGTTTTGGTAGATACGTGTGAATTCTTGAGCAACAAGATTCGTCGACACGGGAACGTTATCGAAATTCGGTAGGAAAATGTTTTTTAACACTATCCATTCGCGATCTTCGTTCATCTTCTCGTCCGATTGCATTGCCTCCTGCAGAGACGTGATCAGTCCGTCCAGTTTTTCGCGGCATTCGACCGCGTATGTGTGATAATGGGTTCTCCACTGGTTCTCCACCTGTCAGACAGGTTGAAACTTTCGATGCAAGTTTGTCTACGTGGGTCAGATAGGTCCTCGTATTATCTTTTACTTTTTGGAGGAGTTTCTCCATCTCCTCCAGCTCGGCCACGTTTGACTCGATCACGTCGATGGCACGCACTTTGCCGACGGTTCCGTTCGCCAGTGCCAGACAGTATCCGCTCCGGAACGGTTTCGGATGACACGTGAAAACGTCTATCCACAGAGAGTTGTTGTCTGGAAAGGAAGCCATCATCGGTCTTGTGTGTCGTCGCACGCAGCTTCTCTCGGAACATATGTTCGTGAACCAGAGCAGTCTGGGAGGGCTTCCGATTTCGAACAGGGCGTGGTAGGTGTCGGACATGCATTTTTCAGGTTCTACGAACGCGAACACGAGGATGATGTATATTCGGTTTTTGGTGGCGTCCGTGTTCACGATCTTCCACCAGACGACGTACACTGGCTTGGTGCCGACGATGGGAGTAAGGTCGATCGAGAACAGGATTTCGTCGTCGTCGAATCGCATGTGCACCTCGCCGTGCTTTTTGCTGGACATCCACGCCGCTTTTCTGTAAACGCCGCAGAGTTTGTCGACCAGCTTCGTCCTCATGCCAGCAAAATCGCGAAACAGGTCTGCCCCGTCATCGAACAGGAACGGCTCGCAGTAGCAGAGGAGCTGTACCCATTTTTCGTCCGGTATCCTACCCGATTCGTGGTAGTTCACGAGTCTTTCGGCAAACGCACGCACCTCTTTCGAATTTACGTCGTTCGTCAGTTCCAACAACCTCTGCTTCGTGTTACCGTACAGTCTATCTTTTAACGTGTCGCTGGCTTGCAGGAAAGACAGAATGGCCATAGCGTTCACGTACCAGGTAACGTCCTCGAACCGCAGCGCATCGCGGTCGTCCATGAATCGAAGCACGGCTCTTGCAATAACGTCCGTCGTCGACAGCGGGTTGGCATCGCTCAGGTCCAAGGTTACAACCGCGCTGTACCGAAATACTTTGTTGGACGGTTTGACGTTCCTTGCCCAACACCTGACGAGCTCGCAATCTTCACCCCATTCGGACAACGACCGTTTGCTTTCGTACACACTCTCTCCGTGCCCTATAACTATAGAAAACAACTGTTGTGTCATCGCAACTCTAAATGAACAACGCCGAGAACAAAATTTCAATTTATATCAACTTTCATTATTCAATACCACCCTCCGTGATGCAGAACAAACTTGGAGAAATTCACGTTTTCGCTTGACGCCGACCAATCTTCGAACCTCGGTACCATGACGCCCTCGAAAAACAGCCATTCGCGTTTCCCGTTCATGGCGTCGTCCGAATACATTGTTCGCTTCAGAGACTCTATACGTTCGACGATCGTTTTTTGAACCCTGTTCAATGTGATCTGAAAATCGATTTTCCATCGTCCCACCAAGTCCTCCGTCACTTTCGTGGCGATTTCGCCGGCTAAATGCTCGACCGATCTTATTGCCTCGTGTTGTTTATCTTCAATTTGTCTTTCAATTGACGAATCGCGTTCAACTCGTTTCTATTCTCCTCTTTCAGATCGACGGCGTTCACCTTTCCGATAGTACCGTCGCCGAAATAGAGAATATATCCACGTCGGATCGATCGAGGGTGGCAAACGTGTAAGTCTATCCACACAGAATTTTTTTGGGATTAAATATCACGAGAGGCTGACGCGATTGAAGCGAGCACTCGGTCTCGCAACATAACTTGATTATCTTCACCAATCTCGGTGGAGTTGCGAGTTCGTACAGTGCGTGATATTTTTCCACCTGTCCGTTGTAGTACCGTTCGTTTGAGAAGGTGAGAATTACGTACATCCTCTTTCTGGTCATATCGGACGCGATTATGGCCCACCATAAAATTTTGAAAATGAACGGAAACTGAACACCATCGTGCAAGCTCAGTCGTAAGATCACATCTTCTCCTATCGACAGAGTAACGTGGTGGTTGCCGGATGGCGTTCTAACTCTGGCACCGTTGGTTCTGTTAACGTTCGAACTGTCCCAGACGAACGGTTTGCAATATCGTTGCAGGTCGAGCCAATCTCCTCCTCCCGGGATCTTATTTGCACGATGATACAACAGCAAATGTTCCACAAACTCGTTTATCTCTCGGAAGCGAGAACATCGTATCAAACTCAGCAGTCTGGATTTCGTTTTGTCGTACAGATCCTTCCTCAGTTCACGGCAGATGCCGAGGTGCGTGATGAATGCCATGCCGTCTACGTAATACGTGATGTTGTTGATCCGGGAACGTGTGACGTTTATTCCATCGACGAATTGCAACATTTTCTTGGCGACCACGTCCGACGTGGAACGCGTTAAAGGAATGATTTCCGACAGATCGAGCGTGTGCGGAAGCGAGTGACCAGTCGTCGAGTGTAGACCCAGTACGTATCCACACTTACTGTTCCATTGCCCAACATTTCCGACGGTCGTGTAAAAACTCTGCCTCTTGCGTAGATCCAAAATTCTGAATACAACCGCATCGAACGACATGGTCTTCGAAAGTGTGCCGCGAGATTCTCATCTCCTTCCTTTTTATGCGATCAGCATTTCCTCGGCTCCTTTTTTTTTTACGCGATCAGCATTTCCTCGGCTCCTTTCGCATCCGTCTGGAGAGCAAACTCGAAGAACTATCTGACTATACTTCTACCGAATCTCTGGCCATCTCTCCCCGAAAAACCGCAGAATGTCGTCACGGCGGGTATCTTACAGTAGTCGCTCCCGCCTGGAAACATCATTCGAACGCCGAACAAGTCGCATATGCCGTGTCCCCATCTCATATGTTTTCCGACGTTTCCGCTGATCGGCACGAATCGCGCGGTGCGATGAAACACGTCGAAGCAGCCGGCGATCGGAAACTCGTCCGGTGC